AGAGAGCTTGTGTGTACATGCGTGCGTGTGCGTATTGGGAAAGGACGCGCGCACGCATCCCACCCCTTCAACTGATTTTTTGGGAGTGGGATGCGTTGGTGCGCACTCGCGATGCTCGTGTCCCAATCCCCCCCCTGCCTCGGCTGCGCCCGAGAGTGAGATCCCTCTTCGCCTCCACCCCCACGCCGCCCCCTTCAAAGGGGGAATCTGATATGCGTCACACTTCCCCGCGGACGCATCGCTGCGTGACTCTAGGCGACAGAGGCGCGGAACGACCAAGGACAAGTATTTATAAACAGGCGACGATCGACGAACGACGACGAGCGACGAAAGACGAACGACGAACAAGGAGTGATGACCAGGACGGCGACTGTCGACGAACGGCGAAAGACAACGAATCACAGACGACGAGCGCCGAGCGTCGAACGACGCCGGACATGCGGGCGTGTCGCAACGCGACCACCGCGCGGGGGGTGGGTGGGGGGTCAGCATGAAAATCTGACAGGCTTCCCTGGGAAATCTCAAGCCGCGTCAGGAGTCCTCGGGCGCGGACTCGTGCGTCGCATCGGCGGCAGCCTCGGCGCGCGATTTTCGCGCGGGGGCCGGCGCGCTGCGCCGAGCAGCCTCCTCGCGCGACTCTATAGCGCTCGCGCGCGCAGCGAAGGACTCGCGCGTGGCATCGGCGAGAATCTCGGAACGCTCGCTCTGGGGCCGGCGCGCAGCGCCAAGCAGCTTCTTCACGCGTTTGGGCAGCGCTCGAGCGCACGGAAGCGGATTCGCGCGTCGCGTCGCCAGCGGTCTCAGCACACGATGTTCGCGTGGGGGTCGGCGCGCGGCGCCATCGCTTCATTCGGCACCCTCCGGTGAGCTCCGGGACAGCTCCGAGACTGCCCGAAAATGCGCTCAAGGCAGGTCACGACCAGTGCAACAGGGCCTCGTGTAGGTCCGAGAGGGCCCCAAGGCGGTTCAAGAGCGATCCAAAATATCCCAGGACCGCCCAACATCGTTCCAATATGGCTTGTGCTGGCCTCGGAACAATCCAGGCGGGCCCCAAAACAGCCCGAGGGGCACTCCAGATGATTGTCAAGAAAGTTCCAAGAACCCCCGAACACTGTTGTTCTTATGAGTTTCAAAAGTTTTCACGGTTTACCTTTCAGGCTTCCCACGGGCCAAGACGACCCAAGAGGCCCCGAAGAAGGCCCCATGACGGCGCAAGAGGACCCCAATCCCCACGGGGCCCGACACGGTTCTTAACACGCCCCAGGAGGCCCCCCGAAGAAATCTCCAAGAGTGCCCAAGATGGCCCCGAAACGAGCCTTAGAAAGCTTGAAACCGGTCCAAGCCCAAGGGCCACAGGGTCAGGACAGCCGAAACAGTCCCAAGGCAGCTCGAAAGACCCCCCGTACAAGGCCCAGGGAGGCCAAACTCATAGATTTGCGCACGTTGTTATCTAGCGGTTTGGTTACCGATGTAACCACGAAGCACCTCAGTGCGGACGGTGTTCTGGGCCATCGAGTCCACAGACCGCCCAGTGACGAACGTATCTGTCACGCCAAGGCTCCCAAGAGCTCCAGGTGTCGGCCAAGGCTCCCAAGAGTTCTAGGTGGCGGCCAATGCTCCCAAGAGTTTCAGGTGGCGATCAAGGTTCCCAAGAACTCCAGGTGGCGGCCGACGCATGTTCACGCGAGGCGGCGGGGAAGGAAGCTCTGAGCGCCAAGGCCCCCAAGAGTTTCCCATGGCGTCGAGACCTCTGAACGCCAAGGCTTCCACTACAAACGACCACGTACAGTGCTCCGACGCTCCAGGCTTCCGCTCATGTTCCGTCAGCTTCGGCTCCAGGGTTCCGCTGATGTTCCGCGTCGCCAGACGCCGACAGGGAACATGGCGAACGAGTTCCACCGATCGCCGCCGTCCCGCGCATGTTTTGCCTGCTATTGCCGCTGCTGCTGCCGGCGCCTCCGTCGCTGGCTTTTGCTGGCCTGCGTCCTGCGCTTCCAGCGCAGTGCGCGGGTGATGCTGACTCCTCCTCTGTGCGCAAGGAGCCCGCCTCCCGCGGACTTCCCAGCGCAGGTACGGTGCACTGCACTCGCTGCGACAAGGGCGTCCCGCGGCTGGATTGCGCAATCTTCCAACGCAGCCGAGCTACCCGCACGTGCACCGCTTGCGCCGCCCTGCCAAAGGACGCCTTCGCCCCTGACCGCGACAGGCCGCTTCCCGCACTGACCCTGGGGCCCAGGCTGGCCACTGGTTGGCCGGGGCCGCCGCTGGCAGGAAGGCCGAGAAGATCCCATCTACTGTGGGCTAGAAAGGCGGAGAAGTGCGAGTACAGTGAGCTCGTCTGCCGGATGACGCTCCCCGCGGCCGCGGCCGCCCGCAAGTACGCGTTGACGCCCGCCTGAGCAGCCAGCGCACATCTGCAACAACAATATCTTTTAGGCCAGGCGGCCAGCCCCGAGCTGAAAAATGAAACTGTCGACGTGAATCAAAATTGAGAGAGTGGGTTATCTTGCTTTGCGCCGCTGGACGCGTTCATTCCCTGCGATGGCCCCAGGACGGCCCCGCGGCGCCGGTTCCCCTGGAGGGCGTCAGACGTCCCATCCCGGGCGCCAGAGCCCAAAAAACAGCCGTCGACGTGAACCGAAACCTCACTCGGCCCTTTGGGTAGCTCTTTGCTTCCGAGAACAGGCTCACTCCCCACGAAAAACTGCGCCAGCGCGGACACCGCGGCGCAAGCCGCCCAGGGCGCGCCCACCGTCCCCCGCCCCAGCCCCCGGATCAAAGAACAGTTTTTTTATATCCGCGGGTCGAGAGCGCACCTCTTCCGGTCGGAGCTAAGCGGGCCGCGCGAAGCTTGAATTGGGCAGAGCGAGGCCGAGAGGAGGCAAAGTCTCGGATACAGGCGATCCGGATCAAAAAACAGCCGTCGACGCCAACCGAAGATCCGCGCGGCCCCGCGGGTGGCCCCGCGCTCCTGGACGCGGCTGCCGCTCACGAAAATCCACGCCCACGTCAGCCCCGCGGCGCAGGCCGACCATGGGGCGCCCAACGTCCCCCACCCTACAGTCAACGCGCCTAGTAAGGACGCGTGCCTTCATCTAGGGTGCCCTTGAGTCCTTGCCTCTGCGGCCCGTCCTTCGCCGTTTTCACTGGCCGCCCCCCGCCGCAAAAATCCAACTTCGGCCTCCAAGGGTCTTGTGTTCTTACCACCCGTCCTTAATAAACGTTTTGACTGTAGCCCCCGGAGCAAAAATGGGCGGCCGTCGACGAGAAGCAAGAACGGGTTCGGCCCCTTGGGTGGGCTTTTGCTTCTGGACACGCTCAGGCCTTGAGACAGTCGACGCCCCCCTGGGCCCCGCGGCGCTAGTCGCCCAGACGCCCTACCATCACGACCGCAAACACGACCTCCAGCACGACCGCCACCACAACCACCAGCCCGACCACCAGCACGACCACCAGCCCGACCACCAGCACGACCAACAGCGCGATCAAGGGCACCACCTCCAGCCGACAACCAGCACAACCACCATAACGACCGCCCAACGAAAACCAGCAAGACCATCGGCACGACCACCAGCCCGACCACCAGCCCGACCAGCAGCACGACCACCAGCACCACCAGTAGCACCACCACCAGCAGCACGACCACCAGCATGACCGCACCAGTTCGAGGCGCCATTGTCGAGGCTGCCCACATTCTAGCGTTCCTCCAGCGCTCGGGGGCTCTGTTCGAGGTGGGGTGCTCTCTGCTCCTTATCCTCCTGCTTCTCCTCCCTCACTTTCCTTCAATCCCCGTCCGATCGACGGCAACACCGCTAGCGCGATCACTAGCACGACCACCAGTACGCCCCCCAGCACGAGGGTGAGGGATGAGGATCAGGGACAAGAAGTTTTGGCGAAGCGAAGCGAGCCAACAATGTCTGGTGTTGTGTATACATACATATACATGTACACATGCATGCAAATGTATATGTATATGTTTAGGTATATGTATATGTCTATGTATCTGCACATGTATATGTATATGTGTATGCATATGTATATGTATATGTATATGTATATATACATATATATGTACATGTGTATAACTGTATACATACACACACATATATATATGTATGTGTCTATATGTGAGCGGCGCCAGGTGGCACGACCCCCCCCGGCCGCACCGGGTGCGGCTGTCAGCCCAGAAGCCCCCCTCCTCCCCCTCTCCGGGGGCTTGTACCCGGTGCACCAGCTGCCGCCGATGCCCCGTCCACCCCCCCTCCCTGTGGGATCGGGGGGGTCCTGCGGGCGTGGGGGCGGGTCTGCGGGGCGGCGTCCACGTGGGGGTGGGTTTCCTTGCTGCCTTGGGAGTCTGCAAGGCCATCGCATGGCGAAGGTTGGGTTGGCAGGTGTGTGCTCTCGCGCGCTCTCGTGGCCAGCCCAGTGCCACTCCGTCGAGGGCGCTCGCACATGCTCCCAGGGCGCTCCCGCTCCTTCGAGGGAGGCCGCAGGGGGAGATGGAGGAGGAGGAGGTGGAGGAGGAGGAGGATGAGGAGGAGGACCAGGAGAAGGAGGAGGACCAGGAGAAGGAGGAGGTGAGGGAGAACGCGCTCCCCGCGAGCATCCCGGGGATTTCGTACCAGCCCGCACGGGCGGTGCGCGGAGGCCCCCCCCCCAGGGGATTTTCGTGCTTCCCGGGCGCTTTCATACCGGCCGCACCGGCGGTGCGCCCAGCACGACAGCCCCAGGACGAGCGATCCCGAGGGTGACTTTCGTTCCGCACCGGGCACCGGCCATATGTATGTTTTTATGTGTGTGTATGCCAACCGTTTGGGGGATTCAGGGCTTCCGGAGCGGGCCACCTAAAGTCCCCCCCCCCGCCTCCTCCATCCCTGAACTCTGGCCCCCCCCACCCTTCCCTTCCTCCTCCCCTCTCTCGGGCCCCCCCCCCTCCCCCATGCCCCCTCCCCCTTTGTGGCGGCGCCGCCCGCCACCGCCCGCCGCGCGACCCTCTCTAGGCCGACCCGGAGGAGGGCACCTGCCTCGCCGCGACAGCGGCTTGGCGGCAGGGCAGGGCGAGCGAGACTGGGAGCAGCAGCGTCTTCGAGAAGTGCCCAGGGGCAACGCTGAGGGGGGATGCGGTCGGGAACCTTGGCCCAGCGTGTCGCTCCGCCGCTCCTGGACGACCACGCCGCGGCGCGACACGCGACGTCACGTCCCCACTCGCAGGCGTCAACGTCCCGAGCTGTTCCCAGCATCCCACCCCGAGGAGCAGAACGACGTGCTTTCTGCTTGCAAGGCACAGCGTGTCGCTGGGGCCGCCGCCGCGACACGCTACGCAACAGATCCCCAATCGCCCTCTGATCCCCGATAAGGGGCCCGAGAGCCTGCCCCGCCCAGGACCGTGCGGCTTCGCTCTCGGATGCCATCGCCAACCCATCGGCCGATGTGTCGCCGAGTCCAGGCCGAGGTCTCCCCCCCGAGCCAGTCTCCCCCTGCTGCCCCCTTTCGCCTTCGCGCCCGAGGGGGCTCGAGGATCCCAGGCCCCCTCGCGTCGTGGAGAGACGACGGAAGGACGTTCTGCTGCTCCCGGCCTCTGGCGGCCACCGCCGGGCCCCAGGACCGTCGGAAAACTGCTTAGGATGAGAGAGCCAGCCCCAGGGAGCGGGTCGAGACTTCTGCGGGTCGACGTTG